CATATAAATATTGTTGGCTACTGTTATATTTATATAAAGTATTTATAAATACAATGTTTGTTTTGTATTCACAAATTAATTAGTTGTATTTGTGATTACAATTTTGTTAGTCTCAAAATGACGTACATAAGAATTTTATGACATGAACTTATCAAGGTTTTATACGGCTATTATACAGTACTATTATTAAATTGAATATTAAAAGTTTACATTAATTAATTAAACAATCAAACACCCATTTATTAAACCATTATGTTTGCAATTAATAAATTTATTTTAATAATAAATTAACATTTATTGCTAAAAATCATACAATAATTTAATAAACCATATAAATAACTTGAAAAAGTATTTAAAACAGTATTTTTAAAAGATAAAATCAATTAAATCTATTGTCGGACATATGTTGCGACAGAAACCACGGGTCCTGAAGTAATGGTCACCAGTAGTTCATTATCACAAAACTTTCGCACAATATTCATCTCCTTTTCCCCTTTGATTGTCTCAATGAGTTGATTGCCCACCGCCACCACCACTGACTGAAATTAATAGCTTATTATTTGACACCTTTATTATTTGATACATTTACTACCTTAGCATTGGCGATCCCATACCGGGTCCTTTCAAACTCCACTCCCAATTCAAATGTATTCACCCAGGTTTTATAAGGGGTCACCGTTTTAATGGTGTAATTATTGCCATCTTTAGTGATCTCTACATCCGACGTCTGAATCTTTACACGATTGATCACATCGTCGGGGAAACCTTCATTTAATTGTAGATATTTTAATGTAATATTTTAAAAAATAGTAATATATTAGTGCAGTAAGTACTGTATATGTATGACACTAACCGAGTACTTTGAACAGGGCATCTCGGTTTTCAGATGAAGTCTGCTTGAATTTACCGGTGAAGTCAGTCATTTTAGTTGATGGTTTGCTTGAACAAATTACCAAATTTACTTAAATAATTTATAAAATTAGTTGAATTTATTTAAAATATTTTTAAAACTTCTTATTGAAAAATTAAATGAAAACTCTGGTTTATATTTGTGCATTGGTTACTTTATTAGGATACATCCAAATAGGAATAAATATCTTTTATTATAAAGTGAATGTATTTACTGTTTATGTTCAAATATTTAATCACATTTTCATTACAATACATTTATTATACATTAACACTAAGTTCTTCATGTTCATAATATCAAATTTTATATTTTTATTTAATTTATTATTTATTGTTATAGAAAATCATGTTGTTACTTTACATTATTAATTAATATAAATCACTTAAAAATTCAAAGTAATTTTAACAAAATTACTCATATTATCAATGATTGAGATTTAGATGTCATCTATTGTTTGGCATACGTTGTGACGGCAGTCACCGATCCGGTAGTAGACGTGGCCCGGAGTTCGTTACCATTAAACTCGCGCACAATCTTCAACTCCTTTTCCCCTTTAACGGTCTGAATGAGTCGATTGCCGTCCGCCACCACCAGTGACTATAATCATGCAATTATAAAAATACTTATTAATTGCCAGAATATTAGTAAATAAGCTAAATGTTAAGCCATACCTTGGCAGTGGTGCCCCCAAAACGTGGTGCGTCAAACTCCTTGCCCAACTCAAACGTAATCTCCCAGGTTCTGTTAGGGGACACCGTTTTACAGAATATTAGTAAATAAGCTAAATGTTAAGCCATACCTTGGCAGTGGTGCCCCCAAAACGTGGTGCGTCAAACTCCTTGCCCAACTCAAACGTAATCTCCCAGGTTCTGTTAGGGGACACCGTTTTAATGGTGTATTCATTGCCAGATTTGCTGATCTCCACGTCCGATGTCTGTGTTTTGGCACGATTTACCACTTCATCCGGTAATCCTTTAAGTAGTTTATAATTTTTTAAGTT